CCCTCACAGTCCTCCAAGCACTCCCCTACACACTCCCCCACACAATCCACCCCATCCTCATCAGGTCACTTGCATTATAGCGTCATTTACTAACACTACCAGAATCACTTGCACACTTCCTTTTGTTCAGTTCACTTGCAGTCTTTATTCTCATGAGGAAATAAAAATTTGAATAAGAAAGAAAATTTGTTTAGCATTTTGGTAGTGGGAGTCCGAATGATCATTCAAACGGCCTATTATATAATGTTTCACCACCTGGAATGCATAGCACTAATATCAGTAAACCTGAGTAGTGCTTCAGGAATGCTGGGGTTTTATTTACACTGTCCTATTATATTTCACGTACCACATGTGGCGTGATATGAGGTCGACTGGCGCGTCTCAACACATACAAACCCCCTTGACCATCCTGAGCATCACCGTGCCTAATTTTCCACTTTGTTACAGATTAAACTAGTTTAACTTTTGGACGACTACGCAACACAAGCATTTCGTCAGGTAGGTCTTTTGTTGTTCTTGATTATTTATCATCGAAATATGATTACGTCGTTCACTCGTCGTTCAGTAATAATACATAAATATGGAATCAAAACCTATCTAACCGGCAGTGAAGTCTTTTTCAAATATTTAAATTTTGAGCAAAACCGATTAGCTGTGATTTTGCACCAGCTACTCCAGAGTGTTGTCGTTCGTTTAGTCTTTAGTTAAGTAAATCTTAATGGAATTGAAGGTCGAAAAATTCCTTAGGTCATTTCGCTCAGCAATATATCATAATAGAACATCAACATATACTTTTACATTAACGGTTGCGAATGACTCCTTGCCTGGTATTTCACATGACTTGTAACATTTTGAACCTACAAAAAATGCAAAATTTTTGCTTCGTACATTGAGTATTTCTGCGAAAATTTTAGACGCCCTCGATTTTTCTGTAGTGCGGAATTTAATGGTACTTTCGAAACAGTGAAAACTGCGGTTTCGAGATTTGGAGGTCAAGTCCTTAACCTCCAATTTGATGCATGCTTATTGGAAGAAGTGTCAGGTTGCATTGGAACAAATGCGGATGGGGCTTTCACTCTGAACACACTGTTAGATTATGCAACCGGGATCTTCAAAGCCGGGAATGAAAAGACTATAGCCCGACAATTCTGCTGTGCATCATTATTGATTTATCATCAATATTTTATTTAAAAAAAGCGACGAAATGTGGGACGTACAACGCGAAAAACATCTCATCGCGGCTGTAAAAGGACCTACAGACTGCGAGTCAAGACGCACACCATAATGAATATATGTTTATAAAAAGAATAACGGAATTACGTCAAGTTTTGTCATAAATTTATCAAAAACGAAAGTACGAGACAACACTGTTTCATTTTCAATCGCACGCTTTTCAGTCAATTCAATTCAATTCAATTCCACACTTTAAATGAATATAACAAATCATAATTGTTTATATTTACAAGTTATTCTAGTTTTTATAAAAAGATATATAAATAAATATTAAATATAAACAGTTATTACAGTGAGTGTGCAGTGATGGTTTAAGTAGTATAAACTTTCGGGTAAACCATCACTACATACAGAAAATATATATTATCAATGGCAAGATTGTCGTGCAAAACTTACACAAGTATTTTTAATAGCTATATGAATGTATATATTTTGAAATTTTAATTATATGTTACTATTGGGTACTCAACAGATGTGATTTTAATGAACTTTTGAAAACTTTGAATGAATTGATATTTTTAATAATTAAAGGGATTTCTTCCCATAATTTTGGCGCAGTATATGTAAAAGTAAACTGACCATAATAGCATATCGGTGGTGTGTAATAATTGCTTTTTGAAGCATGTCTAGTATTGTAGGAATGCACAGCAGAAGAGATTGGTTTTAGAACTGACCAGAAGACCCTTGGGACTTCCGATTTATTATAAGTAATTTGATATACAAAACAACCCATTTTGAATTTCAAAATAGAAATGGTGTTGCACAATCATATTTACTTGCAAAAGATATAGCTCTTATATGTGTTACCCCATGAGAGCAAGCCATATGTAAGATATGGGTAAATGAGAGCATAATAAATGTCCTTTAATGTTTTTAGATATCTTAACTTCCTAATAATACCTATATTTTTTGCCATATCAAACTTTCCACATAGAAAAGTTGTCGTTCCGCTCGAGCCGTTTCTTTTACCATATATGGAATGTACTTACCATATTAGGAAATTGGAATATAATTTTCTTCACTAAATAGGCAAATTTCTTGCTCAAAACTGCTCAAATTTACAGTACATCGAGTGAAAACATCACTAACTAGTCAGCCATCTTGGTTTTGGCCGAAAAAAGACTGGAAATTGTGTAGGGGAGGGGAGCGTGGTTTGTCACCACAGGAAGCCCGCGAATGACAACAATTGTTTGATATGTATTTTGTTAGTAACATGTTTGAGTCCATTTGATGTTCTCATCAACATAAATACCTAAATATTTTATAAACTCGGGTTTGTTTTGCGCACTAGTCATGTACAAATTCCCATCCCCGACCCCCGGGACAGCGCAGCGAATATAACATTCGCGTAGCCCTTTTCCCCGGTCCCCGGAGGATGATAGATTTGTTGTTAAAATTGTTTTGAAGTTTTTGCTACTCGAATTGTTACAACTATTGATTAAACTACGCGTTGTATTCCTCTAATCCCGATACAAACCGGCTGTTAATTAAGCGTTAGATCCCCGGTCTCGCCGCGTTAATTCCCGGCCTGTCTCGGGGGTTTCAATTGATTGGTGTTTAAGTCTATCTTGGTTGGTTTAAGTCTTGAATACGTATTGACACATAGTTCTTTCAGTCTAAACTGGTCTAAAACATAAGTCTTAAACTACCCGAGTGACGCTCCGTTCTTTGATATTGCTGTTATCATGTGTTTTTCATTGTTGAGTCTGTTGTCCAAATCCTTTACGCAAATCCTTTACGAGACATCACAAGTCAGATCAAAGTTAAAATAAAGTTCAAAGTTTTTGGTCCATTAAAACTCATCGTAGAAGCAAAAAACAATATCTACTGCCCAAAGCAATAAGATTATAACCGAACATCGGAGTATCCGAGTATTTCATGGTGATCTATTTTTGCTGAATATGAAATCTTCGTCAATTAATTACATGTCAGTTGGTTTATAGAGAAACTTCTTGACAATGTTTACACAGGATTAAACTTACTTTGATTCTTTCGTAGAATGCATACCATACACCGTCAAAAAGTTAACTAAAAAGATTGTTCGAATTAGTGCAAAGTTTCGTAGGTCTACGGTCTACTGAGGTCTACTGAACTTAACTAGTTTGTGCACATTTCGGTGAGACGTTTTTCACGGATATATGGTATGCACTCTATAAATGTAAGTTAATTAAGTGATGAGTAAATAAATAGAGAAGTCTTGAAGGAAAAAAGAATGCATGCAAATCTCTAAAAGGGCATTTATTGCAGTTGTCAACGTTTTGGTCAATTTACATTATTACAAAAGTCCGAATCTTTCATTATAAATGTCTAAAGGTTTACTGTGATACAACTTCAATTACATAGACCCTTTAAAATGGACTTGGATGCAATGCTAGCTATTTTTTTAATTTATGGTTCGCATTCTTTGATACCAATAAATTATTTTTTATTTTTTATTACGGCGGCAGGAAGTTCCAGCACAAGTCATGTCCTATCATGTCTTCCTTGCACTACTTCTAGTATGCAGTGTTTACATCGTTTATTCTGATGGAGCATCAGGTCTTAGACCCGGAGGGTAAGTCAAGAAAGATAACATGCACAGTAGGGGGAATGGCTCTCCAGGGAGTCATATTCAAAGCAGCCACCCTCACCGACAAAGTATGACCTCTGGTTTCATCCTTATCATTTTTGATATCTAAATTAACATGCGAAAACTTGTTTATAGCGATAGAAGGCGTTGCCAAGCAATCTTGTGTTAAAACCAAACGTGTTCAGACTGAAATATTTGGCAATTTATGATAGAGCATTCTCGAATTAGATGTCCTTCGGTTCCTTCACTCTTGCATAGTGTCAATTCACAATTAATACCATGGAACAGTAAAGTAAAATACAAATTGAAAAAGCCGTTTATTTTGGATAATTAAAAAACAGAAAGTGCGTAAGCATGTGTGCACTGCTCTCATAAAGCACGCGCGCCCCAACATACCATCAGAAAATGAGATTTCAGTTATTTTATGTTGTCGAGATGACAACGAAACGTCGTCTTTTTTCATTAAGTTTTTATATTAAATTATCTTATTATGAGACTATATAAATATAATATATATGATATGTTGTTTTTTAGAGCGAATGTGGTAACCACGACCCATGGAATGACTGCCTACAGACAAGTATCGTTCAAACAGACCACTAGTAACCGAAGATGCTGGCAGACTTGCAGTTGTATTTTCTGCTGGTGTAAGAGGACAGTGTGTAGGTGGGTTGAAGTGAGTGCGGCTACCGGTCGAAAATCGGTCAAATCTCATCGATACGAATAACTTGAACATTTTGCTGAAGTAATCTTGGGTAGCTGTATAATCAATAGTCAAAAAGAAATTGTAAAACTTCGATAAAAAGTGATTATGATGATGATTATTATGATGGTTATGATGATGAAATGATGATGATTTATGATTTTATATCTTTTCCATGTGGATATGTTCAAAGGCGCTTTACGATTATTTATGAATGAGAGATGATTAGTATGAGGTGCAGGCACTGAGGGTGGTCACTGCCAGAGTTTCTTTACGTCCTCAGTGGTTCTTTTACGTCCCTATGATATAGAGTTTTTGCATTTCACCATCACGTACGTGACGGTAGTCAATGTTAGATGGCAGGAGCAATACAATCGTTTTACATAAGAAAGAATTCAATTATTAAGGGTAATGGGATTTTATAGTTCTGCCATCTAACCACGGGCAGCCCAAGGTACAAAACCGATATTGGTTAGTAATGATGAGTGTGGAGAGATGGGAACGACATTTAAAGTGGTCATCCGAGCCACTTGAAAGTCTAGCCATTTAATTTTAGATGTAATAACAAACACAGCACTTTGTCTTCAGTTATTTTAAGGCATGAGTGTTGGCCGCCAAGGCTTGAACCACGACCCCCCGCACAACAGTCCGATCCTCAACCGGGTGACGGTTAAAGCGGCTTTTTATCAATTTTTTTCACGTCCGTTAATTCCAATTTGGCCCACTTTCCATGACTAACGCACACTAGTGCCATTACTTTCAATAATCTATACGTACAACTAGCACTATTAAAACTCAAAATGCCATTAATTGACCTTGGAATGGATTTTTCATTAAGGTCAAGTCGCCTCATTCTCGGGAACCCAGGGGTAAAGCTAGTCCTGTCGCTCGTTTCTCGCTCGCCAGAGAGACAGAACTTTACCACTGGGTTCCCAACGATGAAGTCGCCTTATGATTCTCAGCTAGAGTTTCTAGAACTTTCTCGCATTTAAGATATCCACAAGCCTTGTTCTCCTTGGGGTTTTCATTTCATTATTTAGTCCTTAATCCATGGAGGGGAGGGAGGGGCTGGAAGACTGCGTTTCGAATAACAACACCAAACGCGTCGCATTTTCTCTCTATCAAATTATCTCTATCAACGCTCTGAGTTAGTGATTTCTTAGATAATTTATTTTTCCATTTGATAAACAGCACTTCATACTACCTCAAGACGGCTTACAAATCAGTCAGCTACAGAACAAGTTACTCTGTGCACAACTGTGCGCCAGGATGGAAGCAACAAGGAACAGAATGTCCCATAGGTAAGATAGATAACGAACAAAATTGGGTCCAGCTTCGAGGTAGCAACTTTTGTTCATCATTCTATATTCTCTCATTGTATTGGTCCCTTGGTCCCTTGGTCCCTTGGTCCCTTGGTCCCTTGGTCCCTTGGTCCCTTGGTCCCTTGGTCCCTTGGTCCCTTGGTCCCTTGGTCC